CCCTGTTTGTTAACTGGGCACCATCTCAACAATCAAGCCTATGATGCCTGCATTGCTGTGACGGGAAGCGTCGTCATGAATTTGGAATGTCTGGCTCATTAATACCACTTAATACCACTATGCATGACATCAGTTTGAAAACAAGGAAAAGAACCAAGAAAAACTTATTTAAACTACTGAATAGTACTTAGCTTTGTTTAGTAAAGGGATAGTGCTCATGCAGACAAAGCTGTTCACTTAAAAAAAACCTCCAGAGAGAAAGTAAGCAAAGAAATATCGTAAAAAAGGTATTGTGATCAAGAGCACATTCAGAAAGCTACGACGCTATTCTTGCATTAGCAACTTCTTGCAAGCAGCTGACAGTGACAATTGCATGAGTGCACCACCGTAACATGCTTCAGCTGCACCATCAACTGCAGAGTACATCCACTGTGCCGACAGCAATGAAGCAAATGGCTATTCTTTCTCCCAGTTTCTATTAGGAGACTGATTTTTTTATTAGCTATTTTTCACAAAATTAACATAGTCAAATATTAACCTCTATTACTGCTTCCACAGACAAGGTGAGCCTTGTCCCTAAATCTAACATTTTAACTCCTTTGAGACACTACTAGTGAAAGAAAAACCATCTGGCATCCACAAGAAACTGCCAATATGCAGAAATCATCATATATTGATCTCCCTACAGCATCACAGAACTTGACATTAAAACACATGTACCCAATGCTTATCACAGTAGAAGTTCCAGAAAAGCTGCTTAATTTTGGCTTATGAAAACTATTTTCAGGGTTTTCTTTCACTGAAAGCCAGACGCAGAGCAAAATTGCTTTTGGAAGGTAAGAAAAACTGTACACCCTGGGCTGCAATGGGCATTTTATTCCGTACAGTATAATTAATTTGGAAATCTCATTCAGTTAAGCACAAAGTTTTCCGGACCAGCACTACATGTATCATTCCTCCAAGGACTTCTTGGTTAAGGAATGTTGTTTTATCTCAGAATATGGGTGGCTAGTTACAGTATTAGCATATTAGCACAGTCATTCAAACCTCTTAAAAAGCAAAAGCCCACCCTGCATTTCAGCAAGTATTCACCGACATGTTCTACTCTGCACTACCTACAGCAAAGAAACCAGACCAGCACAAAAATGGGAGTGGCACATTTTAGCAGATTACAAGTATGAGTCCTTTGTAGTAATTTCACCCTTTTCAGTGGTGGCCAAAAAAGAATAAAAACATCTGCTGGTGACAGCCATTACCTACAAGACCATTTTTAATTACGGAAAATTAAAAATAAACCAAACACAAACCAAACAAAAAACCAAAACATCCAAAATTCACAGTAGACAAAAGCTTGTGAAAATTATTTTTTATTCCAGTAAGAAAAGAATGTAATTTCAAACAGAGCACAATGCATGATACAGCAATGAAGCAGATGAAAGCCTCCACAAACTCATATTAAGAGTATCTGCTGATTGAGCAAGTAGAAGTATTTGCACATACAGGCATACTGCAATAGGCTGAACCACACAATAGCTTGTTTTAAGCTTTTTTTTTTTTTTTTTTAAAACCAGACTCAAATCTCTCACAGGTACAAATAATTCAGCATCTATTTAAATCCTGTACTGTAATTACGGGTTTCTAACCTGGTATGGTTGCAAGTTAATTTTAGGATGAACTGATCATTTATGATTTAGAATACATCCTTATCACTGAGATCACTTAGGCTTTCTTCCAGGTTTCGTCTTAACCTATTCAGCATGCAGCCACAATAGCTGCACTAGGGTTTGAAGGTGTTCTAAGAGAGCATGCTGCAGATTAAAGCACTGTTTTTTTTTTTAAAAAAAACAACAACAACAACAACAACAAACCAACCAAACAAAAAATCCCACAGAAACGCACTCCCCCGAAACAGAAGTTTAATTCCAGGTGGAAACCGGCAGCTTCACAGTTGAGGTGCAAGAAGCTCAAGTTGTGGTGATCCTCCGCAATTCTTCAGGGAGGAGAAGCTAACCTGCACTGGGATCCTAAACCATCTCGACAGAGGAACACAAACAACCCGCCGGAGCACAGGGCAAGTGCTAAAAGACCAACTGCGCTAACCGGGAGAGGGCTGTGTGACTGCCCACACGCACCGAGCCTCCCCGGGGACCGGCACGGCATAACTGAACCTACAATAACAAACTGCTCGATCAAGGTCATCTTGTTTTGGCCCCGTTTGTTTAAACGTAACCACTCTCCGAGGAAGCCGAATATGAAATATTCGTGCCAGGCGACAGAGCGACAGACGCCAGACTGCTCGGCTCTGGCTCCCTGGCCAGCAGCTTGCCCGGGACGGGAGATGCCCGCCCGGAAGCACACCCGCCC